CCCCCAAGAGGACAAATTACATTTCCTCCTTTTAAGTGATCCTGCTTTTCATGTATCTCACACTCTTGCAATGAAAGGTTGAGAAGAAAGACTGGTTTAAAAAAAGATGAGGAAACGTGACCTAATTTGGATCTCCAATTTAGACGGAGTACGCATGCCTTCTTGTACAGTACAGCCCTGTGGTTCCCCTGATAAATTGTCACCTATTTGTGCCTCTGAGTGTGTCTGCATGTGTTTAGCCACAGGAATAAAGTAGGAATGAAGTTATTGAGTCAGGAAACTAGCTGCTCAGTGGAATTTGCATCAGACCCGGGTCCTCATTGTGATCTAAATGTTCTTAAGAATTTGTAGTTTAGCTAGTGAACACGTGACATTTTTTTTTCCTGAAGCGTTTCTTTGCAGATGTTTTATTCTGAACCTTTTTGTTTACATGGAACTTTCTTAAACATTGTTCGATAGATCAGCGGTCTCCTCTTGGTACAACGCCTGGTCAGAGACACTGAACCTGCTGTGAATTCAGTTGGGAATAACCCAGAAAGGACGATGATTTTCGAGGGAAAGTGACCCCTTCCTGGAAGTCTGAAATTATGTTACACTATGTGGAGTTTTGTTGCTTAAAGTCTTCCTCTTGTCCTCACAGGCGATTTTGCCAAAGTATAATTGTCACGTTTGGGGGGCAATATTCAAACCCTATGGTAGAAAGTTTCAGTGACTCAGTATGAATTGCATGTGACGTCCCCCAGGAGTGTACGCACGGACGCATACCTTTCAAAGTGAAAGATGATGTTCAATGGTGCTGTCAAGAAAACGTTTTAAAAATAAACACACGACCGAGATATGTTTGTGAACATTAAAAACGGATAACTCAAAGTAGTGGAGCTCATTGTTTCTGTCACTCGTCGACTTATCACTTCGTAAATCCTTGGATTGTTTTTAGCAATTGGGGCAAATTCTCTCTCCCTATTACGCCACTCTCTTCTTCACACCCCTCTGCCACTCTCCACTCTTGGCAGAAAGGTCACAAGTGGACTCAGCTACCTCACTTACCAAAAACCTGGACTGACCTGGTTTTCTGGTGAGGTTTGTGTAGGAGGGGAGCCCCTGGGATTTAGGGAATGGTGAGAGGCTAGGCTTTTTGGGGAGAGACCCTTTAGATGTGGAAATCTTTCCAGTGAACTGACTGTCGTATTTATGAATATTGAGTCAGAGGAGCAGTTTTCTACCTATTTCAATTGCTTTTATTTTATTAATCAACTGATTAAACAGCGTTTGGTTATTGTGAACCATGTACAAGTGCTTCTTGCCTATAAATAAGAAGCTTATACTCTACATGTGAAGCTAAGTAAAGCAGTCCAACTTGGTGGGAGTTTACAGAGAGCCACCCACAGCCCGGATTGCCGGGGAGCCGAGAGAGCTTGTGCTGCGTGCGTTCTGCGCTCAGGTGTTCACATTCTAAGCCTTGGGCAGCATCTGCAAAAGGAGAGGGTGACTGAACATTTCATGACCATCAGCTGCCTTTAGCAGTAAGAGTCTGCAGGATGGAGCTGGGGTTCGAGTCCTCAGTACATTAGGGCTGAGGATCCAGAGTCCCTACTCCATTTAAAAGAGAACCCCACCTCTGCCTGTGTCTCTCACCCTGCCTAAGGCTTCTAAACAGCACTGTCACTTGGCACCATCATGTTATGCATTTGTTTATCTCCTGCGTCTCCAAGGAGAATAAGGCTTTGTATAACCCACCACCGTGTTCTTCGGCCTCCATCCCGGTGCTTGGAGCAGTGCCACAGTACCCGGCACATGGTAGGATCCCAGTAAATATCTATTTGTTGAATGAATGAAGAAAGAAATGAATGAAAAAACATATGAATGAATCCATGAATAGGTTCAACACTTGGTATTGTCAGTTAGAGGCTTGGGACAAATCATTTAACATCACTGTGCTTCAGTTTTCTTTTTCTTTTTTTTTTTTTTGGCCTTTTAAAGAAGATTTTTAAAAACAGACTTTATTTTTTGAACCAGTGTTAGATTCACAGCAAAATCAAACAGAGGGTACAGAGATTTCTCATATACCTTCTGCCCCCATACACGCACAGCCTCCTCCGTTACCAACTTCCCCCACCAGAGTGGGTCATTTGTTCCAATGGATGGACCTACACTGACACATCATAATCACCCCAAATCCAGAGTTTGCATTAGGGTTCACACTTGGCATTGTGCCTTCTATGGGTTTGGGCAAGAGTATAATTATACGTATCTACTGTTATACTATACAGAGTATTTTTCCCTGCCCTAAAAATCCTGTGTGCCCTGCCTAGTCATCCTTCCCATCCTTGCCAACCCCCTGCAACCACTGATCTTGTTACTGTTTCCATAGTTTTGTCTTTTCCAGAATGTCATACAGTTAGAATCATACATTATGTAGCCTTTTCAGATTGGCTTCTTTTGTTTAGTAATATGACTAAGGTTCTGCTATGTCTTTTCATGGTTTGATTGTACTTCAAATTTTTTATCTATAAATGAGGAGAATGATGAAAGCTGTGTTCCTTTCTTTATGGGATTGTTGTAGGAATTTTAGGAGGTAAAACAGGTGACAATAAAATGTCAATGGATTCTATAATCTCACACTTTCATCCTGGCATTCACATCCTTCTGCTCTTGTCCTATCTCCTTCCGTCTCGGTAACCCCATTTTGTCAGTTAAACACCATTTAAAGCTAAACGGCACTAAACAGGGGTACACTCCACATAGGGGTAAGGGAAGAAGAAAGAACAGTCAAGGACAGCTGCACAGAAGACTGGGCACTTGAAACTGGCCTTGTAGTTCAGTGGGTGGAGAAAGAGGGAAAGGCCAATCCAGCTGGAAAGCTGAGACTTCGCTCTCTAGGCAGCTGGCCGTGTGTTTTTGTAGGAGGGAAGCTGGAGGAACAGAATATTTGGGGGAAATGATTTTCTGCAGACATCTTCCCCACCAGCTGTCTGCGGCACTGTGTTCAGTGTTCAGAGCACCTGTCTCATGTCCTGCCCATGATCCTGGGCCCTGCGGGTTGTTGCTAAGGACTCACGGGGTGTGTCCTCTTGGAGTCTGCAGACTCCAGATTCACTGAGTTTATTCCAATTCCAAAGTCAGTGTTCCGTGATGATTTTTATTGCCTTCAGTGGGAGCGTTCTGCCCACATGGCCCCCCGGGTCCTCCCTCCAAACCAGCCGGAACCCTGCTGTCGTGGTCAATGCTGCCTTTACACTCATCCCGTGTCTAACTGATCTTTACACTCAGTTAATATTCCTCTCAGAGGACTATTGATGTCGGCTCCTCCTTTTCTCTTCCTGTCTCATTTTGGGGCTCAGCTGTATCACCTCACCCCTGTGCTGCCGCAGAAGGCTCCTGACCAGCCTCCTGGCACCTTCAACTTCCCATCCACCCTCTTGCTTCCCTCTGCTCCAGGAGCAGGACGAACTGCTCAGCCTGTCTGCAGCCCCCTCCCTGCCCTGGGCCCCCAGCAAGCTTTATCTTTCTCAGCAGACAAGAAGAGCATCAAGATACCTAAGGGAGTTTGGAAGAGAGAGGGTGTAAGGGTGGGTCTGTGTGGACTAGGAAATCAAGCCTTGTATGAGTTGGGGAGTGAATATTCCATTGCAGCCTGTTCCTTTAATCCTAAAAAGACATTTTTCACTTTCTTGAATATTGAACTAGACTTGCCAAGTTATTTCTTTCTGGTTTCTCTCTCTCTCTCTCTTTTGGCTGATTCCTTTCTTTTCTATGTTAGTGTGTCACTTTGATTTTCTGTGGATGATGGACTGCCACCCTTCCAACCCTAGCATCTTGATTCCGGAGCGCACCCTGAAATGAATGTGTCCCGTGTGGGGGTGCAGAGCCACGATCTCACTCATCTTTCTCGAGGCAAAAGAATGGCAGACTCTCCTTCATCTTACACTGGTACCACATGGTCACAGATGTGGCTGGGCCAGAATAATGAGCTCTGACAGAGAGCCAAAATATTTGGCCCATCACACTGGTTCTTTTAGGCTTGGAGATGCAAGCTTAAATTT